GAGAGAGAGAGAGAGAGAGAGAGAGAGAGAGAGAGAGAGAGAGAGAGAGAGAGAGAGAGAGAGAGAGAGATACAAGATTGTTGTGCGGTCCAAGATAGGAGGTGGTGGCCATAGCCGCCGAGCTCGGACACGGAGGTAGCAGAAAGAAGACGAGTAAAGGAGGAGGGAGAGATGAAGGATGAGAGAGAAGCCATAGCTGAGGAAGGAGAAGGGAGAGACGAAGAAGGGAAAGGAAAGACATAGCCGGGCTGAAGGAGAAAGAAAGTGAGAAAGAAAGGAGGGGAGAGAAAGCGAAGTAGAGGTTGAAGGAGACAAAGGGTTGGCAGCCATACCCGAGTTGAGGGTTGACCAAGGCGTTGACCGAGGGGTTAACCAACGTTGACCAAGGAGTTGACCGGGGAGTTGACTGGGGTTGACCAAGATGTTGACTGGCGAGTTGACCAAGCGTTGACCAGCGTTGATCAGAGCTGTTGATCACAAAATTGACCAGGCTGGAGTTGGTATACTCTCACCAAGCCTTCAGCCTATCCCCTCGCCCTATGGATGTGCACTCACCCCATGGTACTTGCTGAGTCTGTCTGTCTTTTCTTTCTGCATTGAGTCTCTTCTGTCCAGGTGATAGGGACTCCGTGTATGAGGTCGTAGAGCTGCGTTGACCAAACCCACACGGGCTGAGTAGGGCTTAATTCCATGTCTGACGACTGACACGTCCCGGAGGACAAACCCTCCCAAGGACCAGTACAGACCGGCGGGCTGAACAGTGTGGCATGGGTGGCCCAAAATCCGAGTTGTGGGCTGCACAACCAGCTAAGTGTTGAGAGGACTCGCTGATCGCGTCCTCCTGTTTGCAACGTTAAACAATTCCTGAGGAGTTATGGGGGATCTCCTTAAATGCCTCCTGATCAGCGCTGAAGTCCTGTAGTGACAGCTTAGAAGTAGGTCTAGGCTAGCGACCATAGTTGACAGGGTTCTTAACCGGAGAGAAAGCCAGGTGGGATTGACCGCAGGTGCTGGGCATCTGGGTCTAGACTGTAAAGGACAGTGGTGGCGAAAGCTTCCGTAGGCCGTGGTAACCTGGCTGGATCAAAGGGTAAGGCTATGTGGTCCTTAGACAGTCAGTCAGTCAGTCAAGTGGGTAGGTCTAAGTGGTGAGGAGTGGGACAGCTTTGTCGTGCACCAGGCACCATGGATGACTACCCTATGTACGATCTGCTCGTGGGGTTCTCCCTCTGGGGGACCCTCTGGCGTCTCGTCTTTCCATTGGGGTTTTGGAACACCTTTACGTGTAGAGTAGAGACCAGGGGTCGTGTTAGCACCACTCCTTACACGAAGGCGCATGAGGAGGAGGCTGCGAGGATCTTGGCCGAGCAAAAGGCCAAAAAGGAGAAGAAGGAGGTTGTGAAACAGGCCAAAAAGTTGGCCTTACTGGAGGAGCAGGCCGCGAAAAGGAAGTTGGAGGAGGAGTTGGAAAGGGTTAAGAAGGAAGAGGAAGAAAAGTTGAAAGCGGTGGAGGAAGAAGAAGAAGAGGAGAAAAAGACAGAAGAGGAAGTCCCCCTCCTCAGGAAGATCATAAGAGACAGAGGGGAGTCCAATGGCACGAAGAAGGAGGAGGACCCATGGTTGGAAAAGAAGGTGTTTGAGTGGGTCGCTAATCTATCTCTGGGAGAGGACGAGGAGGCAATGATGTATGTACCAAGGGGAGAACAGGAGGCGGTAGTGAAAGAGTGGGAAGCCGAAGAGGACCCCTTAAAACGCCAGAATATAGAAGAGGAGAAGAAGTTGGAGTGGAAGCTGCGATTGACCAGGGAGAAGAAAAAGAGAATGAAGGAGCCCAGCAAAGCAGCGAAAGAATTGAAGGCAGTGAAGCAGTTAAGGACGCAGATGGAAGCGCAGGCAGACCTGCAGGGAAGATGGATGTGATGGCTAGGAATGTAGAACTCCTAGCTAGGGCCCAAGAAGAGCAATATCAGTTTGCATGGGGCCAAGACATAGCTCTGCGGTCCATACGCGTAGGGTTCATGGATTTTTGCGCGTGAAATGATGATGGAAGTAAAGGCGAGGTTAGAGAGCACAGAGCGATACTATACGGGTGCCATAGAGGGCGCAAAGCTTGCTGCTCCAAAGGAGGAGGAAGATAGTCCCCGTAGGGATAGAGCGATACTGTACGGGTGCCATAGAGGGCGCAAAGCTTGCTGCTCCAAAGGAGGAGGAAGTTTGTCCCCGTAGGGACCCCATCAAAGTCAAGTTCCCTGATTCCTACAGTGGGAAGAAGGGAGACAACTTTGACAACTGGGAGGCGAACATTAACTCTTATGTTCACCTCCAGAAAATCATACCTGAGGAGCAAGTCCTCATCGCCTTCCACGCTCTCAAAGACAAAGCCGCAAGCTTCGCTAGATCGCTTGCCTGCGCCGCTAAATGCGATAACGATATGGTAGCGTACTCCACAATCACCCCCTTGAACGAATTCTTCAAGCTGCTGCACGAGAGATTTGTTGATGTCACTAGGGGGATTAGGGCCTCTGGCAAGCTCCAAACTATCCACTCACACCAGTGGAAGAATGCTAGGGCATTCAAGGGAGTAATGGATGAGTTGGTAGCTGACCCTGACCATGGGGTCACTGAGATCCAACCTATTCTATCATGCCATGCCCGAGCCATTACGCGGGCACTTCTTTGAGAAGAGTCAGGAGTCTACCATGACCTACGATACTCTGAGTAGGGAAGTGGTAGTGTTTGAGGCACGGTCTATGCCAGTTTCCACTTTCTGGCATAAGGACCTTGACAAGGGCAAAAAGTGGAAAGGCCATGGGGTCACTGAGATCCAACCTATATTATCATGCCATGCCCGAGCCGTTACGCGGACACTTCTTTGAGAAGAGTCAGGAGTCTACCATGACCTACAATACTTTGAGTAGGGAAGTGGTAGTGTTTGAGGCACGGTCTATGCCAGTTTCCACTTTCTGGCATAAGGACCTTGACAAGGGAAAAAAGTGGAAAGGCTGTACCATCTCTGGCCAAGTAAAGGCGAAGGATCATTTAATACTGACTCTAGATGAGGGTGGTATGGTAGAGGTTCCATATGATCAAATAGAATGGGGTCTGGAGGACGAGGGCAGTAGCGATAGCCAGGGGAGGACTTATGCTGCTGTCGCATCTGGAGGAGGCCGCGGCCAAGGGGGCCAGGCTTCCGGTGGACGAGGACAGAGTGATCAGGGGGTTGGTGGCGGAGGAGGCCGCCAAGCGGGAGGTAGGGATCAAGGTCCCCTGCAAAACCGCTCTAGTTTCAATCGATCACCTAGGAGGGGTGGATGGCATCCTGGTCTGCCGCAAGGCAGGCCTTGGAAGGATCTGGGCTTAGAACATACAATGTGGCAGCGTTGCATAGACCAGGACCAATGCATTTACTGCGGTGATCCAGGGCATATCATAAAATATTGCCCCAAATATAGAGAAGCCCGATTTGTTGCACAGGCAGCAAAAGGCAACCGTCGGTAGGGGTTGCAACTGCCCTTACCCCTAGACCATGTGGAGAAGAGTGCACGCACCACATAGAAACTCCCGAACCACATGTGTCTATGGCAGAGGTTGCTGGCCAGTGCCTAGACAGTTGTCCAGAGACTGCTGGTGTAGAGTTGAAAGAAAGGATGCCTGCTTGGGCCAAGATGAAGAAGGATGCGAAAGGACAACTAGTTTTAGTAGATGTAGAGGTCCTTAGAGAAAAAGTAGGGCCCCTTATAGACAGTGGGGCCACCCACAACTATATTAGTAGAAAAGCGCTGCAGAAGCTGAAGTTAAACTTGAAGGTCCAAAAGTTAGAAGACCCTGTAGTCCGTATCCTCGCAGACAATCGCACTATGCGAGTCGAGGATTACGTTGATGGAGTCCAAGCGTACTTTCGCCTAGAGAAGGATGGGAAGATAGAGAGAGTTCTCCATTCCCTGGCCTAGAGAAGGATGGGAAGATGGAGAGAGTTTTCCATTCCCTGACTCTCCTCATAGAAGATGGTCTTCCCTTCGACATGGTCCTAGGAATGGACTGGGGAGAGGCAGCGGGGGCCACACTCCACTTGAGAGAGCATGAGTGTAGGCTCCCTAGTCCATCAGGCGAAGTTAAGACTGCTTGCCTGTTTCATGTGTCAGCAGTAGACAACTCTCTGGCACATTGTTGTCTCAGTGCTCCCGCGTTCGCGCATTTAGTAAAGAAGGAGCAATTAGAAGAGCAAATTTTTGTAGCCTATGTTAGGCCTGTCACTGAGCCTAAAGAAGAGAAACCCATAGATCCTACTATTGCCAAGCTGCTGGAGGAGTATACAGACTTAGCTAAGCCGCCTACAAGAGTAATGTCGCGGCCAATCCAGCATCGCATAGAGATAGAGCTTGGCAGTAGGACTCCTAAGGGAGTCATCTACAGAATGTGTCCCCAAGGGAGTTACAGGAGTTGCGCAAGCCGTTGGATGAGCTCCTCGAGAAGGGTTGGATTATGCCCAATTCATCTCCATTTGGAGCATCTGTTTTTTTTGTCCCCAAGAAGGAGCGAGAGCTTAGAATGTGCATAGACTATAGAGGTCTCAACGCCGTCACAATAAAGAATGCAGAACCAATGCCCCGTATAGATGATCTCTTAGATCGGGTGCAGGGCTGCAAGTATTTTTATAAGATAGACCTGAAATCCGATTATCATCAGATAGAAGTCCATCCTGATGACCAGTATAAGACGGCGATCCGACCGAGATACGGGCACTACGAGTTTATAGTTATGCCCTTTGGACTAACCAATGCGCCAGCAACATTCCAACACTGTATGAATGATTTGTTTAGGCCTTGGTTGGATAGATTCATTGTAGTGTACTTAGATGATATTCTAGTTTTTAGTAAGACCCTCCAGGAGCATGAGGGCCATCTGAGGCACGTCTTGGAGAAGCTGAGGGAAACTAACTTCAAGATTAATGCAAAGAAGTGCGAGTGGGCCAAGACACAAGTCACGTCTTAGATGGAGATGGCATTCAACCTGAGGACAACAAAATAGCGGTGATTAGACATTGGCCAACGTCCCGCACATTCACGGAGTTGCGGTCGTTCCTAGGCTTAGCCAACTATTATAAGAAATTTGTGAGGAACTTCTCCACTATCGCCGCTCCCCTTGGCAGGTTGCTAAAGAAAGAGGCAATCTGGAAGTGGGACAAAGACTGTACATTGGCCCTGAAGATATTAAAGTCGACCTTTATAGAGTATCCAGTCCTCAAGGTAGCTGATCCATCCTTACCTTTTGTTGTCACCACTGACGCAAGTGAGTACGGCATAGGTGTTGTCTTACAACAAGATGATGGCAATGGGTATAGGCCCGTAGAGTTCATGTCTGCTAGGATGCCTTCAGAGAAGGTAGCGACATCTACCTATGAGAGGGAACTCTACGCTCTCAGGCAAGCACTAGAGCACCGGAAGCACTACTTGCTTGGGAGGCACTTCAAAGTCTATTCAGACCACGAGACACTAAGGTGGCTGAGGACAGGCCAAGATGACACCTAAGCTTACTAGGTGGGCCGCAGAGATAGACAAATATGACTTTGAGCTTAAGCCAGTAAAAGGGAAATACAATGTAGACGTGGACGCTCTAAGTAGAAGAGTTGATTACTTTGGAGCGATAGTTCATTATCTGGATATAGGGAAAGACCTGCAACAAAAAGTTAAGGAAGCGTATGCGCAGGACCCTATCTATAGTGACCTCCTCAAGAGAGTTAGGGAGACCGCAAATTCAGAACCAGATTACCACACTACAGACAACTTGCTATTTGAGAAGACTAACATAGCTGACCGTTTGTGCGTCCCTGATAGTGAAGAGATCCGTAGTTTGATCTTAGGGGAATGTCACGACACAGAGGGACATTATGGTTGGCAAAAGACATTAACCAACCTCATACTCGCGTATACATGGCAAGGTATGAAAGCTGACTGCATAGAGTACATACGCAGTTGCAAAGTCTGCCAGCGAAATAAAACTACTACGCAAGGCCATCTTGGTCTTCTCAGACCCTTGCCTATTTCCGATGGGCTCGGAGACTCTATATCCATCGATTTCATGGATGCTAAGCTCAGGAGTAGGCATCGTAAAAGCCAAGTCATGGTGATAGTTGATCGATTTAGTAAGTATGCAGTGTTTGTTCCTTTGCCTTCAGAGGCACGGACAAATTTAGTGATACAGAAGTTTTTCGATTATTGAGTCGGCGGATCTAAGTTGTTAATGTCATCTGGTCGTCACCCGGAGACCAACGGTCAAACTGAGCAAATGAACGAAGTCCTGCAGCAGGTTCTGAGAATGTACATTAGACCTGACCAAGTTAACTCGGTTGAGACGCTCCCAAAGGTAGCCAGTGCCCATAACAACAACGTGCACTTAGCCACTTATCGCATTCCCAACGAACTACACAAGTCCTTTAGACCGCGTAGACTGTTTGAGGGACTCAACCGGGATCAGATTCAAAGGCTACCGCCCGACACTAGGGAGTTCGGGATACAGCATGAGAAAGAGATTAGTAGAGGACCTCAGGAAGGCCCAACATAGCAAGCCAACAAGCACCGTCGCCCATCACAGTTTCAAGTAGGCGACTTAGTTTGGGTCAAGTCCAAAGAGTTTGCTCCTAAGGAGAACATCTCGCAAAAGTTACTGCCTGCATACCGAGGACTGTGGTCAGTCTTAGAAGTCAAGGGCGGAGAGGATGGACCGTCCTACACAGTCGAAATTCCAGCGCACCTCCACACCTACCCGGTGTTTCATGCGTCAAAGTTGCTGCCTTGTACCACAAGTCAACAGTTTCCATCATGGAGGTCTATGATCCCTCCGGACAAGGATGGAGGGTACGGCATTGATGGCATTGTAGGTGAAGATGTCTTCAGAACAGGAGGTAGCGGTCGTCCACAGAAACAGTATAAGGTCAAGTTCACTTTTCAGGAAACAGAGGACGATCGCTGGTTCACAAGAACAAAACTT